GATAAATAGTCTTGGGGCACAAGAAAAGTAGAAAACTTAAATTGATATGGAAATTACAAAAAGTAGAAACTTTCAATTCCATTTTTTGAGACGACAACAGTCTTTTTTTCCCCATGCATTGTTACAGATTCAATATGATAATTTTCTATAAGTTTATAATAAAATGTAAAAATATCAGTTTTCTTTTTTCTTATACTACTTGTAATGAAATTTATTGCACATACGGAATTTACATTACCTACTTATATAATCTGCCTCATGTTATTTACCCTGGAGGCCAATTTATCAACAGGATACTATATAAAAACACCACTACAAGGCATGAATAACTTTTATATACTCATCATTTATTTTCCTCCATGATGCATATAATGGTCTCATTGGTCCCCCGTGCATCAAAATTGTATCATCACAAAAATCGACTTGCATACATATTTAGTATCATTCAGTGAATTACTGAATTCAAAATTTATAGGCCACCTTTTAGTTGATAGTAACATTTAAGGACATGAATGGTGACATGTCCGGGGTCCGTACTCTCAGTGCCTGAAAGGGATTAAGCCTAGAGAATAGAACATACATACATACATACATGACTTTTGATGCTTAAACCTACTGTAAATGTTTTCTGCTCATGCATGATATTTTATTAAAAACAAACAAACAAAAAACAAAACAGATCTGTATAATAGTGAAAAGCAAGTTGCCAAAGTTTTATGATCATGTATATTTCTGAATGTGTTAAAACCGACAAGGCAAATTTTTAAAAATCAATAATAGAAAAACTAGACATTTCCTAGTTCAGAAATTAAAAGATGCTATGAATAGCAAGAAATATGGATAAATATTGATATGAAGTCTTTCTAGAATATTTAACACTGATATGGATTCTAAATAAGTTTTTAACAAAAAAAAAAAAAAAATAACAATAATTTAATAAAAGTGAAAATTCCGCTTTAGAGACAACATTATCTAATATGCATTTATGCCATTATGATTATTTTTTATAATAACTGATTATACAAAAATAATGGTCATTTATTTAATGGAGTTTTTTAAAAATTATTCTTATCTTTAAAATACACAGTTGAATACTAACTTATCACAGTATATGGATTGTTTTAGAATAAATGTACTTATTCTGTTTCAATATTGAACATGAGGAATTGCCTCTAAGTTATATTTTATAACAAGAGCTGTCGGTAGGACAGCACGCTCGCCTATTCCTAGAGCTTGATAGTTAAAGAGCCTTGATAATGTAAAAACAAAATTTACAAAAGGGCCAAATTTTTCTTTATACTTAAAGGTCTTGGAGAGAATCCTATTATGCTCTCAAAGAAGTGTATAAAATTTCAACTTGTTTTAAAGCCAGATGTCAATGGAATAAGAAAATATCTGTTAACGTAATTCTAAGTCGAAAAAAGGACACAATTCTGTCAAAATGCTTGATAGAGTTACCTCCTCCTGTGTAAAAGTTGGGGGCATGATGGTGAACAAGTGTGCAAAGTTTCAAAGCCATATATCAATGGCCTTTGAAAATAGTTGCGTGGTACGCATACTTTAATATAAATTCTAAGTAAAAAATATAGGTTAAGGGTATGATGGTGAACAAGTGTGCAAAGTTTCAAAGCCATATGTCAATGGACTTGGAAAGCATCCTGTAACAATTGTAACAATGCTACAGCATAAACCTTTCATAGGGTTACATAGATGTTACAAAACTGGTTACATACTTGTTACAAAAGACTGTAACATACTTGTTACAGCATTGTTACAAAAGGTACACGAGTTGAAAGTGAAATGAAAATTTCACATAAATTATAATTGTTACAAATGTTACAGCTTGTTACAAGTGTTACAGCACAAACCTTTAAAATGGTCAGAAATCGGAATAAATAGGGTTACACAGATGTGACATGTTGGTAACATAGTTGTTACAGTATTGTTACAAAAGTTACACCGGTTGAGAATGAAATGAATATTTTGTACTTGTTACATTTGTATACATGTACTAAACATTTAAGTATGGGACGTTACAGCGGTCATGTGTTACATTGATGTTACATACATGTTACTTAGCGTTATTCTGGTAACATATTACAAGCGTTTCAATAAATTGCGCCCATTTTGTGTTATCTAAGACACTGATGGGGCCAATGGACAGACAGACAGACAAGCACCACACTTAATTTACCTTCAGGCATATAGAAAAAAACTTTTAAAACTCAATTTTTCTTGCATTGTAGTATTATAATATAATTATGTTCTATCCTATAAGTCCACATTTAATTTGATAAACATTGTACATGTAATGACAAAGGCTGATAAAAATAAGACAACTCCCTGATTCATTTATCATCTTTAATAAATATACATAGTATAGTATAACACATTTGAGCCGTGTCACGACAAAACCAACATAATGGGTTTGCGACCAGCATGGATCCAGACCAGCCTGCGCATCTGCGCAGTCTGATCAGGATCCATGCTGTTCGCTTACAAACTCTATAACAAGTAGAGAAACTGATAGCGAACAGCATGGATCCTGATCAGACTGCGCGAATGCGCAGGCTGGTCTGGATCCATGCTGGTCGCAAACCCATTATGTTGGTTTTGTCGTGACACGGCTCAATTTTGTAAACAGAAGATACATTTAGCAGTTAAATATTCAACACTCATATTTTCTATCCAGTTTATCAACATGTTTTTATATGTTAATATAATTATTGCAAGCATCCATCTTATTCTTATAGCATGGAATGTATATTGTTGTCCATTGTAAAGATATAAGTATGTGCATAATAAAAAGAAAATTATGTTTGATCCAAGACAAATCATAGTATTTTCTGAAAACAACTTTGGAAGAAGGACATTTTTTAGACACATAATTTTGACAAAACTAGCAAAAATATGTATTTAAATTTACAATAAAATCTCCAATAGCAAAAATCAGTTACAGAATACAAACACATTTAATTTGTTTAAAGCTTGTAACAATTTACTTACTACTAGAGATAATACAATACTATAAGTACATAACCAAGTAACTGTTTGGTGTAACCTGTCCTACCTTACCAAGCAATGCTGTACAGCTGGGAAGTCTTACTGACCATACCAAGAAATGCTGTACCAGCCATACCAAGCAATGCTGTACAGCTGGGAAGTCTTACTGACCATACCAAGAAATGCTGTACCAGCCATACCAAGCAATGCTGTACAGCTGTGAAGTCTTACTGACCATACCAAGCAATGGTGTATGGCTGTGCAATTTAAACAGGTATACCAACTAACCAAGCAAAGTTGTACAACAGCTGTTATAAATTTTTGTTGCATAATTTCAAAATTTTGATATCAATGTCTATCACATTTACCCTTTACCTGCTGAATTTCTGATATGGACATGTCTGGCTTTCATTTTTAGAATTGACCATTATCATTATTTGGTATATCATGATGAAAACTTTAAGATATTTAGCTTACAGTATAGAGCTTAGAGTGCACAGGTGCACACCTGGCTGGTCTGGCTTATAATGGTGGCAATAGCTAATTACAAGGGTCCGCAAATGAATGAGTTACTTTGTATTTTTTGAATGAAAAACCATAAAGCCAAAACAAAAACTACCAACACATGACTAAATTTTCTCTTTGCGCGTTATCTCAAACAACGTAATGGTGGACGATGTGTTCGTACTTTTGTTTCAAGAAGGTTGAGAGCAACCAAGCAACTCTCACAAATAAATTTCAGCACAAGTTCATCACAGAAATTTACCAATGTATTGAAGTTTAAAGGGATTCAACTGAGGTTCAAAAGTCTTAAAATATAAAATTTGAATTTCTTACTTAGTTTGGAAACTTAAAACAGAAAGACATATAAAAGATTATTAATAAATATATTCAGAAATGAATTGAAAATCTTATTTTTGTGCTATTCATAGCCTGGTTTGAGTGAAAAGCCAATGCTTTAAAATTTTGGGTCAATTTTCACAACTAGAATGATTATTCTGTGAAAACAGAATGTCTGAATGAGCAAATAATCTGAAATATTGCACACAAGTTATTGATCTAGACCTGCATCAAATGGAACATCAATCTCAAAAAATTATTTTCAGTCTTGTAATGTCAAAAAACCTCAGTGGAGTCCCTTTAAGAAGACATGTGTTACAAATATTTTAATTTAAGATATTATGAACTCTTTAGATGCCATTCAAGCAGTCACAAATTACTTATCATAACAACATAAACAGACCTTTAATGCAGGCAATAAATTCTACATGAAAAAATAATTGTAAAATACCATCTTTCTGAAAATGAAGCTTCTCATAACTCTGTGAAGTTACATTATATAACATAAATAAATTAAAAAATTATTATGTATTTTCATGTATAAATAAACAAATTGAATGACAATAAAATATCAACAATATCACAAAACTGTAATGTTATGTTGCACTTCTCCCTTATCAAAACAATAACAACAGTTAAAGCGTATTTTTCAAATGTTGGGAAAAAAACTGCCCCACCCACCCCATATCAAACTGCTAATCTATATAAAGAAATAAAGTAGTTCTATGCTAAGATACACAGAGCTAGGCCAGTCTGTATATTTCTACAATATGCATATAAAGTTCCATTATGTTGACTGCTTGATATTGTTGTTCTTTTTGTGATTTTTAAAGCTTTATATAAGACAATTCTATAAATTAAATTAAAGTAATACTAGAATATTAAAAATTAGTTCAGTAGAAATAAAAGTTAAAGCAGTGATAGCACTTTATCAACATTAACGATTATATAAATCTTGGCACTTAATTTGACCAATTAAAAGGCCGAAACATTGATGTTTAACAACACACTTTAGGTCCCAAGCACTAAAATTTTAATTTTCCCTATAATAAAGTTTTGACCACATAAAAATGGTTAATAATGAAGATACAAACTCAGTTACAAATAAAATGAACAAGGTTTACACATATACTGATTACTGGTTCTTTGTTAAAAAAAAGACTAATTTCACAGAAATTAAAGTAAACAAACATGTACATTCTGTATGAGAACTTTCTGTATGGGAGTCTTCATAGAGTTGCCTTATTGAAAACACTTTGACATGTACATATGCAGTTAGACTATTATGTTAATTACAGCAATTTCTCACTGAAAAAAAACAACAGTCAATATATTTAGTATCCTAACACTGATATGTAAGTGCATTTTTATCTTCTGAATTTAAAGCATCTAGATCTGTAAAATAAATCTTCAAAATAATACAAAAATTAAGACAACATTATTTAATATATAAAACAAACTAGAAATGTGCCAATTCAACTGATTTGTCAGACTAGGGACAGACAGTGAGACAGCATGACAGAGGGACAAGTGTAAATCTATATGACTCCAGCCATAAAAGAGATGGGGGCGAGGCATAAAAATATACATACTGACAAATATTCATAATCCAGGTGAAAATTTGAGTGCAAGATATGACAATTTTTTTTTCTTGTTTCATCACCAAACTTCTAATCCAATAAAAAAAGGAGTAAAAGAAATTTCCAGATATTTTGTAAAGCATAATGTAATTTCAGTGGAAAGTTAGTGACTTTGGCTATATCAAATCATTTATTATGTATACAGTCCCTAAAAAACACTTATCCCAACACAAAGAACAAATTTTCATTAAAACACAAATGTGGAGGCATTCTGCTGAAACATTATTTCAAATTAATTAAAATTCATGGTTTTATAATACACAACAAGTTTCTAATTTCCAAAAATAATAGTAAAAAGGTCTGTTACAATGTCAACATTTGATGATAAATTTTCAACTGTTAATTCTTCCCCAAACTTTGTGCTATAAAAAATAAAGTTTTTTTTACAACTTTAATTTACCTAAAGCTTAACAAAGTATTTTAAGAAACATTTACTCAAATGACCTAGTTATGATAATGAATTTTTCCAAACAACAAAATGAATACACATTTGTCAAATATTACACAATAAATGACATTATAAATGCATAGCAAATAAGACATTATAGGGTCATCCACAATATTGCTTTCCTTAACACAGTTCCAGGTTTATACCCAAGTATTTATGAACAATCTTAGAAACAAAAAGATACAAGATGGTTTTAATGAAGTAATGCAATTCTTTCATATGTGATCATAAAGATATGGTCAAAGAAATGAATGGCTTAAAATAAAACCTCGAAAAACAGCTTGAAGTTGTTGTGACCGATGATAAAATAGCAGAATTTATAGCATTCCTACAAAATCATTATTGTCAAAATGCCATCAATTATAATTTATTCATCAGATCATTGATAAAACTATAAAAAGTGTCCATAGGACACATAAGCCCGAAACTTCTTCCTTTGCCTTTCACAATGGTATACATTTGTATTTACAATTTAATATTTTAATCAGTGTCTCTGTGACCTTGACCTTTGACCTAAAATCATTAAGGATCATCTATTGGCTATGAGAAATGTCAAAACCAGGTTACATAAACCATTGCCTTTTCTTTCTTAAGGTACAATTACACGTTTGTATTAAGGCTTCTATACTTTGATAAACTTGCAAATGCCAACCCAGCAGATGTACCTTTAAGATGCATATTCCACTGAAAATAACATAAGCTACAGTTTTCATAAAATGATTAATAACCACTGAAGTTAATGTAGCTGTTCCTAGCTACACCATTTATTCATACTTTCAAAGCATTTTCAGTATTTCTATCAGCTACATTTGTAGAAATGAAAGCACCATTGAACACAGTGATGGGTAAATACTTCCATGTTTATTACACTTCACATACACATGTACACTTCTCACATGATATACGGATTTGTAACTCCAATACAAATTTATAACCATGACAACAAACTCCCATCCAGTCAGACAGACTCAAGCTTGCATGTTCACTTCAGGCAGTAGTCAGCCAATTTAATTGTCATTCCAAAAAACAGAATCCAGTCTCTTGAGCTTAAGGGGGAGGTAACTCTTAATTGACTGCTAAAAATCATGCATGTAAGTGTTTAGAGAGCTACTCATCTTCACCTATGAATGAATAAATGAGGGCCACGCACACACACAGTATGACACAATTACTCTTATTACCATTAATCCATAAATTTGTGTTATATCACCAAGATGGAGGTATAATTTTATTAGTTTGTCCTTTTAACACAGCTGGAGGTTGAGAACCACCAAACCATGACATTTTCCACTGTAAAGTGTCTCGTATTAACTTTTGTTCTTCAGGAGTAAAACGTAGGAGCAGAGATACTGCCTTAATCAGTTGTATTGCCTGAAATATAAAGAGATTATTTATTTATAAACATTTGACAACTTATCAGATCAAGGTTATATACATGATTGTATAGGTTTATATTTATTCAAGTTGAAAAATTTTTGTTTGTTTGTTTCATTTTATGCCTTTTCCCAACAGTATTTCAGTCATATAGGCGGGTAGTTTCGTAACCATCGTTCCTTGAGAGTTACACCAGTACTAGACTACCTTCCTCCACGCTAAACAACCAAAAATCTCCTGGGGATCGAACCCACGCCAGAGGGGTAACTGGATTAGAAGTCATCGACTCTAACCCCTCGACCATAGAGGTGGTAGTTGAAAAATGCAAATTTTTACTTAGCCAAGGGCAATGACTCTACAAATACTGAATGAATCTGTTTGCAAACCTCCATATGCAAAATTACACATGCTGATCAATATTAAGTCAAATACATTTTGGGCTATAAGCGACACAAGTTGAAAATATTAAATTTTTACTAAGACAAGGGCAATAACTCTGACAAAACTAGATTAATGCATATGAGAAACCCCAGGTGCACAACTTAATATGCAGATCAACGTTCCAGTAAAGTTTGTTGACACTAGCTCAAGCACTTTTAGTGGTTCATGTTACACAACATGAGAACAGACAGATGCACAAACGGACATGCAACCGAATTGAGGATAAAGGACCATGTTAATTGTTTTTTTCTTTTGTTTAATATAGGGAATGATCCCTTCCTCTATTGTCCTCACAGATAGATGGCCCCCTATCGCTATTCATTTGTCTGGATTAGAGTTGGGCCACAAAAAAAAAACACTTCAACTCTGAGGAAAATGTACACAATGGTTATACAAACAGTAATTAATAAATTGATTCAGATGAACAGATTTATAGAATGGACTCACCTCATGTTCTCTACTCAGCATGAATTTCATAACAACATGTTTTAGATACTGGAAATTAATGTCTTTTTCTAGATGCCGAGTCTCAAACTCACGATTTCTAAACTGTCCATTAGAAGCAAAGGCACCTGTGAGGCCAGCGGGGCCTCGTGAATCTGTCACTGATATTGTTGCATGAGAATTCGGAACACCAAAGGATATCCTTTCTGAACTAGATTTATGTTGATTATGTGGAGAATTGTCACCGAGAAAGAAATCTTGAGTTCCTATAGAATTATTTATTCCATCAACTGTATCCATCACGGGGTCTGTAGGAACAGGACTACGGTCGTGAGAACTAATCCTACGTGTTCGAGTGGAATGATCACTATGATGTGTTTTTTGTGTAAGGGAATTTTTACGAGGTAAAGGCGGAGTCAATGCCGACACTTTAGGGTCAATTGGTTCATCATTAGGCAAAGATTGAACTTTAAGCTCTCGTTGTAACGTCTTTTTCAAATCATTCAGCCTTTGTTCCTGTTTCTTTAATGCCTGAAATAAAGTAATAAATGATATTCTAAATGTAACCAGACATGAATCTTTCTTACCCCCATTATTAGTCAAGAGCTGAATAAAGAAGCCAAAGTAATCAAAGCAAAATCAATGTGAGTAAGATGGGGGGGAGGGGGACTTTCCAATTTTCTTGCTGCTTGGAAAGACATTCTAATTTTTGTATGTGAAGATGCAAATAAGTAACACTTTTACTTAGTTTTACTGAAGATACATTTCAAAAGACAAAAAAGTCATACTTTTTTCTCTTACCATTTAAATTCACACTAAAATTCATTATTCCCATCTATAAACCACATGAATTAACATAAATTATTTTTGATAAACAGTATGAAGAGTGTAGAACTAAAATGTCACCTTATTCTTCTCAGCTAGCTGTTCCTCTAATGATGTTACTGTATCTTCTAATTGTATAACCTGTTCATTACTAGCAAGATGACCTGACTGGAAATCTGTCAACTCCCCTATCTGTTTACATAATATATATAATGATTTCAATAATAGCTTACTATATATAAACAAATCTTTAGTAGTTTCCAAGTACCACAGCTTAATCGAGACACTGATAAAAAATCTTGTTAAAACATGGCTAATTACTCATTTTACAAAAGTCTGTATAAATATACTTGTATTAAGATACATATAACAACTACATTTTTATTTTACATTTTCCAAGGGCAGTTAATCCAAGCATTATTAATTACATTGCATTTCTTTAATATTTTCAAGTATTTATAACTGGTGCTGCATTCTCATAATAAACTATGAACATCTGTAAACAAGATGATAAGCTGTAAAAAATTTATACTATGAAAATATATAATCAAAGAAAAGCATTTCTTGATATGATTCATGCTAAAACATTTTGCAGTGTTAATCCTCATCCGTTAAGGGCAACGACTATGAATAACCAATTCTGATAGAATTCTAGTTGAAAAGGGGCATAATTCTAAAAATAAAGCTTTAAGAATTATGTCCCTTGTCTTAAAACTGCACCTTGTCATGATAAGGAAGTATTACAAGTTTCATGTTACTAACTTTAAAAATGTTTGAAAATTAGCCACATGACAGTTTTTGCATGAAAACAACGCAGCCACACAAGGGTGAAGCAGGGATCATAATACCTTGACTTTTTCTTCAAAACAGATAAGTTAAAATATAATTAAAATTTAATCCTCCTTTAAAAAGTACAAACCTTTATTTCTAATTCTTGACATTTATCACGCAATTGTTTTTCGTTCTCTTTGTGAGATTCAAGCTCTGCCTCTATGGTATGTTTCTCGTCTTGTAATGTTTGCTGTAACGTTGTCAGCTGTTGCGAGAGTTCCGCATTCCGTAACATAAAATCATCCTTGTCTAGAAAATAATACATAACCATCAATGTAGGCTTACTTAAAAGAACTCCACTGAAGTCTAAAAGCCTAGAAACATACTGTAAAATTTTAATTTCTCACATAGATGAATTGGGAACTTAAAATAGAAAGATTTACAGAAAAATAAGAAATATGCTCAGAAATATATGGAAAATTGTATATTTTTTGGGGTATTCCTAGCCCAATTTGAGTAAAAAGCATTGCAACGCTTTTCAATTTTGGATCATATTTCACAATTAGAATAATTAGGCTGGAAAAGCATATTAAGCATATGACCTGTAATTTTGCACACGTGTCACAAGTAAAACTGGTCTAGACCTACATCATATAGAACATAAGTCTTGGAAAATTCTGCATTCTGTTTTGACCCTCAATGCATCAAAGGACTGGTGTTTTTGGAATCCACACTCTACAGGAAATATCAGCAGACACTGCATCCAGTATACCAGTATAATTTTGAACCACATGTATTCCACATGGTTGATGTCAGAATGGAGAAGGTTTATCCCGTCAACGAGAAAGTGTATCTTGGCGAGCTTTAGCCAGTTGGTATTAAAGTAAAAGTAAGTCTGGTACAATACCTTTATTACTCTCCTGTAGTTCTGATATTTTAGATTTGGAACTATGTACAGCTTTGTCAAGCTTCTCCTGGGTCAGAATTACCTCCTCTTGTAAAGACTGGGCGTGAGTTTTTGCTTCATGCAACTTCTTCTCTTTATCTTTTACATCTTCCTCAAGTGACTTACATTTTGTTTGTAAACCTTTCATCTCAGCCTATAAATAAGAACAAACATTTATCATACAATTACAAAGCCGTCCGGTTAGCTCAAAAGGTAGAGAGTTGGACTGTAATCAGGCGACCCAGGTTTGATTTCCTGACAGTGCAGGTCATCGTGATTGAATATGAAATTCTTTCTACTTTCATTTGTACTGTACCTCTACTCTGGCATGTACAGAAGTTATAAGTTCCTTACGAAAGTAAAGGTAATTAGTACTGGTAAACTGCTTGACAGCATGCCCAGAAACTATGCTGTGGCAGAACTGTGCTCTGGTTAATTCAATGTGGCTTACTGCCATGATCCGGACTGAAAATTACCAACACTACCACAATCATACATTAACATGTTTCTCTTTATTTAAGCCTCACCACCCTTAATATCTTATGGACTTGTCCATCTTTCAGTCTGGATGAAAACATTCATCATTTTTAAGGAAAATTTAAAAATAATGAATAGTGAGCAGTGAAGATCATGATTAGATGGCACAGATGTCCTGGCAGATTTTGGTCTGCCATTGTTTCATGAAAAGATTCAGATGCTTATTTAAATAAACAACTGTTATTACCTTGGTAATCCAAACAAGTATCTTACAAAACAGTTGTTCAAATAGAAACAGGGATAACATTTGCAATTCCACTAGTATAGTTAGTACATGCATGAAAAGAATAAAAACAACATTTTTTACATTAATATTTCTAAAACAAGTATACCTGAAGTTTTGATAAATTTTCTTCCAGAGATTTGACTTGTTCTTCTGAATTGCCAAGTTTATGTTCAAGATCAGCTATAGCCTGCTCCTGTTTGTGCTGATGAAAAAAAATATTCACAATTTATTTTTGTCATTTTGTTTATTTTATTAGCAAAAACATTTTAAACTAAATAAGAATGCAAAATATTATGGACAGTACTTAGAAATAGCACATTTTTCATCATGTAACAACCTTTACATACACAATATGTAAGTTAGCTATATTAGTGATAAAATCTCAATGTACAAGTAGTATCCAAATTAGACAAAAACTATTATTAAATTATATTGTTACTCATATATAGAAGATATTGAAGGAGTGTAGTAAGTTCAATAAAGAATTTATTGAACAAGCTGAATAAAGATATATTATGCAAGTCTCCGTTAAAGAAATTCAGTAATGAACTTACACAAAATTGATATAATATTCTATTAATCACATACCTAAAATAAAGACTGTTTAAAGTGAAAAAGAATAATGTTTCAATAGGTGCGCCAAATGTGTAACGCTAACATTTAGCACATCTGCATAACGCAAATGACATCACGCCAAAACATATGCACTACCGTTTCGTTCTGATGTTTTTTTTTTTAATTCTAGTAAACTTAATACATGGTGTTGTTCTTAAAATAGTCACTGCATACTTTTTTCACAAGCAAGCTTAAACAAATAATCTTCAAAATACATAAAGCATTGTATATACTTCAGAATTAGGTGAATTTTGAACTTACAATCGTGTCTTGAAGTTGCGACTTCTCCTGAGCTTTACTCAACTCCAGTCCCATCAGTTCAGATTCCACTGACGTTAACTTGGCCCGCAGATGGGTGTCTAAATCAACCTTCTCTAACTTCATCTTCGACACTTCTGTCTCCAGCTCTAATCTCTTCAATAACAATATGATTTTATTAGACTAGTATACAATACTTTCCCTTCCTGGTAATAGAAAATAAGCTCATTCATCTTTAATATAACAAACCATGATTCAAAGAAAGACATGTTGGTACAAATTTATGATTTCAATGATACAAATACGACTTGCCATCTAAATAAAATTTCAATACTTACCCAACAAAGAATCAATTCCCTTTTTTAAATGCAATTTACATCTTTATAACTGACCAATCAGACTTGTTTTATATGTACATAAATAACTGCATATCTGAACTAAAAACTGGGCCATATCTTATAAAACTGTTTTTAAAGTTCTAACATATTTTTTATACATTTCACCTTGGCAACAAATAAACTTTTTTCTTCAGAATTACACTGAAACAAACATCCAGAGGAGGAATATCCCCCAGAACAAAAGGGAAGCCGTGGCCTGTTGGTTAAGGTGTCTGCCTCTCAAAGCAGGGATCATTTCTTTGAACATTACTCAGGTCATGACCATGTTTCCCCATACAACACTAGTACTGGTTAGAACCCCCAACCCTAACCTATAACCTAACCCTAATCTTGGGTGATTAAATACAGAACTTGTTTCCCAACCAAGCTAAAATGCATATGTTTAAAATAAAACCCGTTATACAGTAGTTCATGCATTAGTAAGTTTTAATCCTAAACATTAAGGCTATTCTGTGCTATTATATCTTTTCTATACCTTTTATAAGACAATCAAACTCATTTTTCTAAACTGAACACTGCTATTGTCTTAGAACTAACCTCCTTTTTAAATCTTGCTTCTTTTCTGGATAACAGATCTACTTGCTGTTGTACCTCTTTTTCTGCATCCTTTAGTTTCTTCTTCAAATTTTCGATCTTAAAAATTAAAATTACATTTTAAAACATTTTTTACGCATTCAATTTTTGTCTAGCTGTTTAACAAAATATTTGCAAGACAACATATAATTCTGAACCACCGTACTATAGTGACTATTCTCTACAAATAAGTCAAGAAATCAATGGCATTAACAACTCCTCACACATAAAATCTATGCATGCAAAATATGAATGGAGAAGAAAACATGCATTAATGGATAAATTCTTGTGACCAAGCACCTTTGATGCAAGTTTTTTGTTTAGCAGCCAAATGCAATGATAGCCTTCAGACTTAATAAAATCCCTCGATAAGAGGGCTCAAGCTTTAACATTGTTCTTGTGAAGCACAAGATGTTAATGTTAATGCACCAAAAAAGGTACATAAAATTAATGATTATTATTAGTTATATTACTGACTGAGTTTCAATATGAAATCAATGGAACACTGTGTCATAAACTATTTTCTGGAGAAAAATAAAGTACGATTGAACTTGAATAAGACAAAATAAATTTTAGTATAGATTTGGTAACTACTTCAGAACACTACACTATTGATGTTAGTCAATTTAGATAAGATATATAGACATCAAGTAATTGTTAGTCAAACAAAATATTGACATCAAGCAATTCTGAATTGTACCTCGGTCTGCATGTTCTCTCGCACAGTTTCTGTATACTGTTTGGCCTCGGCCAACTCCTCGCTGTCCTCCACAATCTTACCATTCAGATGTGATATCTATATGGAAGTGAAAATATATAACAATAAATAACTAGAACTACCACTATCATGGCTTGAATACCCCCGCATACCACTTTGTCAGAATCAACAGTGGCCATTTAGAGCTCAAGGACAACCTCCCTGCAAAATCTGAGGTTATGCCAGTGCATTGCCAAGTTATGTATTCTACATGCTTCAAATGTGAAAATGTCAAAATCAATAAATTGCAGACAGGACATTCTTTAGCAATTTAGAAGAAAAGCTTTTTTTTGTCAAGGTCCCTGTGACCTTGACCTTTGACCCAGTGACCTCAAAATCAATAGGGGTCACCTTATAGTCATGATCAACATCCATGCCAAATATGAAGACTGTGGGTCAAAGGAATCTTAAGGAGTGGACAAACTTTTTGAAGTCAAAGTCCCTATGACCTTGACCTTTGATCCAGTGACCTCAAAATCAAAAGGGTCATCTACTAATCATGATCAACATCCATGCCAAATATGAAGACTGTGGGTCAAAGTAATCTAAAGTTATTGGGCAGACAAACTTTTTAAAGTCAAAGTCCCTGTGACCTTGACCTTTGACCTGGTGACCTCAAAATCAATAGGGGTCATCTACTAATCATGACTAACCTCCATGCCAAATATGAAGACTGTGGGTCAAAGGAATCTTAAGTTATTGGGCGGACATGCTTTTTGAAGTCAAGGCCCCTGTGACCTTGACCTTTGACCTGGTGACCTCAAAGTCAATAGGGGTCATCTACTTATCATGACGTACCTCCATGTCAAATATGAAGACTGTGGGTCAAAGGAATCTTAAGTTATTGGGCGGTCAAGCTTTCTGAAGTGAAGGCCCCTGTGACCTTGACCTTTGACCTGATGACCTCAAAATCAATAGGGGTCATGTACTAATCATGACGTACCTCCATGCCAAATATGAAGACTGTGGGTCAAAGGAATCTTAAGTTATTGGGCGGACAAGCTTTTTGAAGTCAAGGCCCCTGTGACCTTGACCTTTGACCTAGTGACCTCAAAATCAATAGGGATCATCTACTAATCATGACTAACCTCCATGCCAAATATGACGACTGTAGGTCAAAGGAATCTTAAGTTATTGGGCGGACAAGCTTTTTAAAGTCAAGGCCCCTGTGACCTTGACCTTTGACCTGGTGACCTCAAAATCAATAGGGGTCATCTACTTATCATGACTAACTACCATGCCAAATATGAAGACTGTGGGTCAAAGAAATCTTAAGTTATAGGGCGGAAATGAAAAAACGGACGGCCGGACGGACAGACAGCCGGACAAGCTGATTCCAGTATACCCCCCTTACAACTTTGTTGTGCGGGGGTATAATTATTCTTAAATTACCACTTTCTTGCTTATACCATTCACATAGAGATATCTAGGTAATGAGAAAACATGTCTCACTAATAAATACATTAACTTTTAAAGCAGTTTTTCTTTGACAATTCAATTTTAAAATGATACATGTAATTCTTATTTAGAACAATAGCTGTCCGAAAACAGGGTGTTCGAATAAAGCCTCATGTCCTGACAGTAAGAAAACGGGCATATCACTGTTAGTTGTAACTTTCATGTCTTTGTACCAAGTAACATTTTGGTTGAAACAATATCAAGTGCTATAATTCATTTATAAAGTGGCAATATACTCATCCAAAATAAAATGAGTGCCAAGTAAAGGTTATAATTATTTTACATTTTGATATCAATTTAAAATATATTTTTGCCATTCATCTTTATATAAGCAATAAAATGAATATGGTGAGTACCTGGTCTTCCAAGTGAGATATCTTTTCACTCCATGATGATTTGATCTGTGACAGCTGTTCCCTGGTCTCTGTTAATTTCCTTTCCAAGCCATCTCTCTGTAAAGCAATGAGGAATCATATAACCACTTTTAATTAATCAATCAATTTATCATAGAACAACAAAGAATCTTGTTATCAATTTAATTAATCAATTAATTAATTATAAAACATTCAACACAAAAGGTCAATATAATTGTGTTATTACCATAGTTATAAGGTATTTAAGCCTGAAAAAAAGTTGATCATTATTGTTAAAAGTTGAAAAAGTTATCAATTATAAATAATTGAACATATAGTACATTTTAACATAGACAGATTGGTCAGTTGTCATAGCATAAAAGAAGTTGTTATCCTTTCAAAATAAATATAATGTGTCTACATATCTATCTACACTCATCAGAATGTCACTGTAATTTTTTTTTACCTCTTTCTCAATAGCTACAAGCCTGTCATCACCAGATAGAGTATTGTCTTGTTCCCTCTGTTGTAACAATGATAACCTATCAGCTAGCTGTTCTATTTCATCCTTCTGTTCTTGAATTTGTTGATTTAGCTAAAAAAATAAATGTTTTATATATTACTCTTATTCCCGTCAAGTTTTGACAGTCATGTGTCTGCATATAGTTCCTTTATTATCTAAACTGGATCCATGGGAGTTGCATACTATAAGGATCTTACACTGGCTATCAGTACAGACTGGAATATCTGGCACGAAGGTAACTGTGTGCGGCAGTGACGAGGTTCTGTCAAATTCCGCAAAACAGTTATCCAAAAGCTAGATATTTTTGACTGTGACAAAAGCGATGTTTGATTCTTTTTCTTGTATATTAAATATTAATCATATTTCGGAGAGAAATCATGTAAGCTATTATTTTTACAGGGCGTCAAGTGAATTTTGGTCCAAAAAATATAGGACTTACCTCTGAAATATAGGACCGTTTTCCCAGAAATATAGGAATATATAGGACAAGAAAAACAAAGAACTTTTGAACTTAAAAACCTCCTCCTCCACTCACTTCACTCTCCTTTCATTTACAAGTTACAACAGGTATAACAACTTTCAATATTTCAATAAAATTATGACAATTAACAAAATGACATACTTTTGACATACATATGTGTCCATTCATATGATAATATATATACTTATAATAATCATAGTAACTGTTGAGCTTATTATCATTTAACCAGGAATACTAACTACATTGGCCTACTGTAACATACATTTGACAACCTGTTTGATTAAGATGTTTGTGTTGCAACCATAAAAGGTCAAATGCTGCTAAATTAATCATACTTCTGCTTCTTGGAATGAGATGAATGTGTAATACATCTTCATTAGGTAAAGCATAAGTAAGATTTGGTAAACCAACAGCAGTACCCAAGATACCTGAACTTTCACTCTCTGCTGTGTTTAAACATGCACTAGGCTGTATATTGAATGTTAGTTTGGTCTGTTTTATTGAAAGAATTTACTCACTTAATTTCTTGTGTTGTGACCATTTCACAAGGTGAAGTATTTTACTTATTCCACTATTGTCACATTTGATTTCTGTCTTACAACAGGTAACAACTGTCTTCCTAACAATATAATCTAAACTACCTTTAACACACCATGACTCACTCAGTAACTTTTTTCAATTTGAATTAATTTCAGTTAACCACCATTCATGAAACTTTGTTTTATCCTTAGGCATGTTTACCCTAATGTTAATGATATACTATGCTCATCCTTGAGTAAAATATTTTAGTCACAGAAATTTATTGAAATCCATGAAATTTTAACTTGAATAAAACAAGATATGTTTGTAAAACATGTATGCCCCCTATCAGCAGCCAATTAGTCATGTGATAAGGTTATTATGCATGACTTCTGACCCAGTGATCAAACAATTAATAAGGGTTATAAAGTATCTACTGGTCATGACCTTGACCTTTGACCCCTTGACCCAAAACTCAATAGGGGTCATCTGCTGGTCACGACCAATCATCATACAAAGTTTGAAGTTCCTAGGCCTAGGCGTTTTTAGTAAATTGATCAGAAACCGTTTTTACCTACAAGGTCAATGTGACCTTGACCTTTGACCCCTTGACCCCAAAATCAATAGGGGTCATCTGCTGGTCATGACTAATCACCATGCCAAGTTTGAAGTTCCTAGGCCTAAGGGTTCTCTTATTATTGATCGGAAACCGTTTTAACATACAAGGTCAATGTGACCTTGACCTTTGACCCCAAAATCAATAGGGGTCATCTACTGGTCATGATCAATCACCATACCAAGTTTGAAGTTCCAAGGCCTAAGGGTTCTTTAGTTATCACTCGGAAACCATTTGGTCTTCGAAATGGGGGCATAAAAATGAAAGAACCATGTATAGGAAGGTGCTATCTATTTAACAGGTCAAGTAAAGTTAAGCTTTCCTTTAAAAAAAAACCCTATAGTGTGAAGAATTTTAAACATTGCATATCTACCTTGTGTGAAGTCAAAACATGTTTATTTTATATTTATAAAGAGACTGTGTAGCAATTATAAATATTTTCTAATATCAAATTTGAGCATAGAATATCTCAACCTGAAACAGAATACTTGTTAAAATATAGGACAGCTTCACCTGCAAGAATGTTTGACTTCCCTCAAACAAATCCAAAAGGTAAAACTGGACTAGCTGGGCTGGGCAGGGTCGCTTGCTACACTTGAAAGAAAGATGGATTTTGAAGTAAATGTTGCACATATACAAACAGATGACACAAACTGCTTGTAATATACAGTACTGGTTTTGCTCCATAATCCAATATTTCTTGCTTACCCTTAAATATAGGAATTTATAGGAATTTCACAGAAATATAGGAATTTTCATGGAAATATAGGAATTTATAGGAATTACTCCAAAATATAGGAATATATAGGAATTTATAGGAAACTTGACGCCCTGAATTTTTATATAGCACCTTTTTCTTATAGTAGGGTATGGATTTACAACTTCCTTCAGAATAATAGAATGATGTCATCCTATGAACGCAATTCTTTCACAAAAGGCGCATGGGAATGATGTCATTTAAAACACCTGTCTTACCTTAAATGGGGGGTTGTAAGACAGGTTTGTTTTTTCTAATACCTATGTTAAAAGTAGATAATCCTGTTTTATATGCAATAAAATCTTAGACTAGCTTTGTTCAAAGCTTAAAGGCACGATACAAACAATTCACGCATTTAAGGTTGAATTTTATACTACAATAATCATTTTGACATGAATATGTAACAGTAACATGTCTATACATACCTTGTGTTTTTGTTGATCTGAACTGTGTATCAATGTCTGATGGGCGCTCTCTAGTTCTGTAAACTTGCTCTGTAGACTAGAATATGCTGATGATTTCTACAATAAAACAATATATTTTACCGGGCGTATAACACTTCACTACTAATATTACCATCAAATAATGACAAAAAGTGTCTGGCCTATAACAAGACAATGATTTACTTATTTGAAGACTGTGAAATTTACGCTCACATTTTCTTCAGTTAAATTATTTTCGCTTTTTTATGTTTAAGAATCTATATTCCTTAGGCAAAGTAAAGTTAATTTTGTAAGGAAAGCCATTTAGTGCTCTATAACTGACATTTATTTTGAAAATATTTCATTCCTTAAAATTACAAAAACCTTTGGTGTTTCCACAGTACAAGTTTTCATCTGATTAACAATAACCTTAACATGACCAATCCACAACACAGTATGATCACAGGTCTTAAAACATAAATTGACAATATGTTAATCAAAACATTCAAATGATAGAAAATAGCCAATACCTCTGATAACTGTGATTTAACATCATTTAGAGACTCCTCAAGTGTAATTCTTTCTTTTGTTAAAGCACTCACAATTTTTCCATGGCCAGCAATTTCTTCTTCTAAGTTACATCTGCAAAACAAAACATTCTTTATTATTGCACCTCTATTGAACTGCGAAAAAAAAAAAGATTCCTTTTCTTAATGTTCACATGGCAATTTTTTTATTGTGTAATTTATTTGAAGCTATTTTCTTTCTTTTTTCTTCGCAAGTCTTAGAAATCCTGAAAAATTATGGGAAATGTACTCCACTGTAACTATACAAACTTGCAATTTTTAATTTGCAAATTTTTTTTTTTAACATAACAATAGGTTTTTGTTTAAGGAAACATTAAAGCAGTCCTGCAATTTAACTTCTGAAGATATTAGATAGTCTATTTGAGATATCTTAAAAATAAACTTAAATAAATCCACAAAACATGGGACATAAAATCAAAAAGTACATGTTTTGTCTTACTTTTCTGATTGCAGGGATTTTACTTTCTCATCTAATGATGCCAAGTCCTTGTTATTCTTCTGTAGCTCTTGTAACTCATTCTGACATTTATCTAATTCTTCTTCTTTTAATATAAGCTGAAATATAAATGTCAGGTCATTTTTTTTCATGGGACATTGTATTTTTTTTTTCATATTTCTAACTTGCATTCCTGGTATATCATTTGGTTTATTGACAACCCTTCCATATGATAAAAACTAGAGGTGTAACGATTCATCGATGCATCGCGATCTGCCTTGTCCTCGATGTATGCATCGTAATGAAATTACAAATTCCAATTTATTGCGATGCAATACATATTTCACCTCCCGATGTATCGATATAGCGTGAAGTATTGCAATACACTAACAATATTTTCCAGGAATATAAGGACAAACGTATTTTTTGAAAGACTGAAGAAAGAAAAATAGCTCGGATAAAAACAATGAACAAGCGCGACTATTATCATATCATCGTTGTCATCTCGTTTCCACATGTCCGCAATCGTTTAACGGTAACTAACCAAGTTTTATCAATTCCATATAAATGAGCTGGTGTTCTTTGAACTTGTTTATAATAAAAAAAATAATAAGAGATCTATGTGTTTTGAAGAAAAACAACCTACAAACATTAATTTGTAATTTAAAATAGTGATGATGACAACATTCCCATATGATATTCGTCACGTATTTATACTTTCATTTCCGTTGACATCATTTTCCCGTAAAAAAACCCAAAACAAACAAACAGAAAATTTGTAGACTGCAAAATATTTAGAAGGAGAAACTATAGCTAATTCTCCCTGGTCATATAATTCACGAGTTTTGGGAACATTGTAGTTTTTGGGGAACCAACAGACAGTGTTGTATAATGTGGAAGACCGGACGTGGAGTGTAACTCAAAATAAAATACACTGGGGTCGAGCACAAATCTTTCGAGAAAAATGATTTAGTGTAACTGATAAACTGTTATTTTCACAGTTGTTGAGCTAATTGTAAATCACTTGTTACTATTTTTTCACAAGAAAAATTTTCAGTGTTGTATTGTAAGACTACAATTGTTAAACTGCCATTATTACAGTAGAGGACTTTATTGTTAGAATAGTGGGTATTAATTTGCTGTTATGGTATAATTAACAATACCTTTAATCATTAAGTAATCAAAAAAGTAAATTGCTGAAAGATCAAAATCGAATACCAAGTTATAACAACAAGTTAAAAAGTTTATTGTTTTTGTGTTATTGTAATAGTTTTATATTATATTCGTAATTATGCTGTAAACAAATGGCATTATTTAATGTACTAAGTCTAAAAGTCAGTATCGGGATACGTATCGCATCGCAACATAAGAATCGCAATATGCATCGCATTTCTTCAAAGTATGCAATACATATCGTGAATTGCATCGTTTTGAAAAACAAGTATCATGATATGTATCGTGACAGAAAACAAGAGCTGTCCGTAAGACAGCGCGCTCGACTTTTTTATTGCTTGCCAATAAAAAAAGTTTTTGCAGTAAAAGGCAATACAAGAATCTCTGTATTTTTAAAGTGAACTAGTTGTTTGATACCCTTGAATATTACAGCAATGTTTATATGACATAATTTATGGTAAAGTGAACAAGTGGATAGAATGAATTTTTTAGATTTTTTAAGTTTTTTTAGTGCTTGCCTATAATACAAAACATTGACAGTTAAGGGCCATAATTCAAATAAAATCTTTGACAGAATTACCTTCTCCTGGACATGTTTGGGAATCATGATTGTAAACAAGTATTCCAACTTTCAAATTAATATCTCAAACAGTTCAGTCAAAAAGTGGACTGGTACTAAAAACTTAACCAAGATTCTAAGTCGATAAAAGGCCTTAATTTTTAAAACAAATCCTTGACAGAGTTACCTTCTCTTGCGTACAGATGGGGGTAATGATGTGAAATAGCATTAAAAGTTTCAAAGCAATATCTCAAAGGGTTAAGGCAATAAGTGGATTTTACCCATATTCAATGTATTTTCTAAGTCAAAAAGGGGCATAATTCTGTCAAAAACCTTGACAGAGTTATGTCCTCTTGTCTGTTGATGAAGGTCGTGATGGTAAACAAGTATGGTCAGTTTCAAAGCAATACCTCCAATGGTTTTGAAATAAAGTGAGGTGGTACAAAAAACTTAACCAAGCTCAATACACTTTCTAAGTCAAAAAAGGGCCATAATTCTGTCAAAAACCTTGACAGAGTTATGTACTCTTGTCTGTAGATGGAGGTTATGATGGTGAACAAGTATGGTAAGTTTCAAAGCCATACTTGTAATACTTCTGAAATAAAGTGGGGTGGTACGAAAAACTTAACCAAGGTGTGACGCCAACGCCGACGCCGGGGCGAGTAGGATAGCTCCCCTTTTCATAGAAAAGTCGAGCTAAAAATGGCAATGCACAGCCCTAATAAAAACATTTATGCATACAGGGAGTTCCCAAGAATTTAATTTAAACGCTACAATTGTGATACGCCAGGGAGTGGGTGCCGGAGGGGACAATGCGTTAAAGCGTACAAGTTACTAACCAGGTTCAAAATTTCCAACTTATTATATAACAAACTTACCATATGTTTAAGTTTGCCCATTTCTTGTGTTTTAAATTGTTGCATTTCTTCTTTTTCTTCTTCTTTCTTGTAATACTGTTTTGTCATAGACTCTGCTTCCTTTAATTTTGCCTCTAAATCCTGTTTCTCCTGAAAGTATAATAACAGTATTTGGAAATTGTTTGCAATTCTTTTTAGTTAATCGTCATTTCTCTAACTTTATCATCAATTCTTATAAGATCATCATCAATTCTATAAAATGTAGGTTATCATACCACAAATTTAGTTCATTGTCATAAATTTAGTTCATCAACATTTCTATTCAATTCTATTCAAATATATTTATTATTAATTCTATTTAGTTCACCATCAATTCTATTTAGTTCATCATCAATTACATTCAATTCATATGATCATCAACTGTATTTATCATCAATTCATCACTAATTCTATTATTCTTGGTTTTTCATCTTTTCTATTAAATTCATCATCAATTCAAATAAGTTCATCATCAAATCCATTCAGTTCATCATCAGTTATACTTATCAATAATTACATTTAGTTCATCATCAATTGTTACAATTCTATTAAATCCATCACCAATTTAAACAAGTTCATCATAAAAACCATTCAGTTCATCATCAATTATACTTATCTTCAATTAAAGGGAAAGACAAGGTTAGAATAAAAACTTGATTTCAGAAAAAGAATACTATAAATAATAAATCTGCAAATTTTCTGCCGCAAAATAATAATATTAAACGAATGATAACACAATTTAAATCGCTAAATCACCGATTTCTACAAATCAGTAAGCGCGGCCATGTTTGTGTATTGGCCGTATAAAAACAGGTGCGCGTGATGTCATTTCCCCACATCTTTAGATTTATGATAAATCTAATTGAATCCTACGGAAATATTAATATAATAAAGTATTGACCAGACAATTTTATTTTTACAGGAGGTGTAGAGGAGATTTTTATGGTTCAAAATACGTAACAATATCCAAAAAAAAAAAAAAAAAATAAAGAAACAAAAAAAAATCAACGTCTACCGGTCGCACCACTTCAGGCCAGTGATGCCCGTTACTCCAAAACAATGCTATGTTCATTAAAGTCTCATCTGAATGTAATTAAACAATATTTCACAGATTTAATAAAAACACATGTTATTATTTAACAAAGTTTCACAATCAAATAATGCGATTAAATAAACAAACGCACCAACGAATAATTGGCTGTCAATTATTGAACGGCGATAATTATCACTATTATAAAAATCCTACTAAAACGTGTTCTTAATAGTACATGTAATTAAAAATTTTGCAGTTTGATTCTGACTTTCAAATTTAAAGGTGTGATAATTGATGTACACATTTCAAAAATATAAGCAACTCTTTTGAAAAGTAAATTGTTAACATGTCTGTCAACGTATGATGCTGCGCATCGTAATCGTAGCCTAAATATTAACTGCAGGCAAAACATTTTTATTGGCTGCTCAAAATCTAATTTGCATAATTTATTCACACAATTGCTGGTCCTTACTACTTATGCACTGTCCCATTTTGATTGTTCCTAATTTGCACCAAATGTTCCTGTCACACTGTGTACTGACGATTTTTATTGCTCCTTGTATGCCTCTGTGCCGACAGACCTTTTGATCATGTTGCCCTGATTGGTTAATCACCCTTGTCAAATATTCTAATGACGAAATAGACATCTATTTTTTTTACGCTTCATCAGTGAACTGAATGACCTTAGGGGAAATTAAGTTCCACACCTACTCCAATTATACTGTAAATTACAGCATGTCATAAAATAGCAACACATTTTTTTTCAGTTACCAATAATCATTGTAGATATTAAGTAGATTTATGATTTTTTGTTTTATTGGAGTAGAAATGAGTATCTGTGTGGGAAAGAAATTGGGTAAGTAGATAACGTGGAAAAAAGCTATAGGGAACTGGATAAACCCGAGAATATGCGTAATTACAGGGAATGGGCAACCCGTTGCTGTTGGTACCAGTTTTGACTGGGTGCCTAAATAACCTAACGGACAGTTTTGTTTTCATACGATATTAGTCTGGCTGCCGATTTTTCTGCGCCATTCTCATTTTTAGCGTCAATGGCGGAAAATCGCGTCCTCAGCAGATCTCTGCATATTGGATTTAGTTGATATTTTACCTGAAAAAAAGATACATGACCGGCGATGTACCCTATTCGGACAGCTTGTCTAGCGACAATTAAGTACAAAATAAAAGGATATATCGTCAATTTGAAGAAGTTTCTCATAGTACCCAAATTAAATTGATGGTTTATCTTTGAAAATTAAGCGGTCATTGCTTAAATCATGTGGTGGGATCATCAGCAAGCTTGAAAATCGGACAAATGATAATTAATGTCGCGGCGTCTTCAATTTAATTAATTAAAGCAATTCAGTTCCATAATTATGATGTTTTCATAAATAATATATAATGTACGCAATAAGATTAATAAGTTCTTCATCAAGATATATTTCAGTTGTACCAGCGTGTACACCTATACCGGAAGTGGGTGTAACACGTCACAATCTCGGTCTCGTCTGTCTCGCGAGAATGACAGAACGCCAAAATGGCGACGCCCATGAACTTATTTCTCAAGTAAAAAATAGCGTTTTAAAACACGAATTTCTCACTTATAGGGTTGATGTCAACAGAAAAACTGTCATGGTACCTCTTTTTAAATGATGAATATTTATATTAGACAGACATCAACCCATCCATTCCTATTCCTTTAAATTTAGTTCCTCATCAATTCTTATTGGTTTGTCATCTATTCTATTGAATTCACCATGAATAAAAATAAGTTCTTCATCTAATCCATTCAATTTATCATCATCTTAAGCATTCAACATATGCTAAACCAATGCCACCTAATATTTAACTTCATCTCCTTCTTTCCAAGCTAAACAGACACAAAAGTTAGTCAAGATACAATGTATAAAGTTAAAGGAAGGCCAAAATGACAATGTACCGGACTTAACAATACATACCTTTTCTTTTTGTTCAAGCTCTAGCTTGTAGGTGTCTGATAACTTTATCCTGCTAGCTTGATACTGTTCATTCAACTCTTGTGTTCTCTTAGCTAATACTGAAACATACAACAGTTAATAATAGATATGACTTATCGGAATATACAAAATATTTTTACAGTGAAATATTCAATACAAATCCACCAAATCAATTACAAATAAAAATATTTGGAAGATTTTTACATGTCTGCATAATCTTATTAAATAAGAGACAAAAAAGGACAATCAGTCATGTATGATTCTACATTGAACTACACAATTCAATAGATAGATCATGGATCAGGGTTTTCATATTTATGTGAGGCAACAGATGTGCCAATCAAAACAACCTACATGTATTTGACCAAAGGTCAAAGGGGATATTTCAATCAATAGGATGAAAATACAACCAATTTTAACAGCATTTTAAATGATGATATGAATTTCCAATCTGTTTATACTGAAAACTCTTGATATAGATATTGTCTCATGAGGTTATGTTGTTACCAACACAACAGAAAGCAGATCAACATGATTTTTTTTCAATTCAGTGGGTATGATAGAAATATAAGAAGCACATTTTAATTAATATAAACTGTCACATAATTATCAGTCTTACAAATACCCTCAACAATCTTAAACATGTAATGATGTATGTACAATATATACACCAGTACTTTGATTTTAGTGATATACACAAAGTAATTAGCCATGCTGACATAAAGAGACTTTGATCAGTATGGTATGGAATGGTAAGGTAAGGTATGGTATGGATAGGGTATGGTATGGTATTGTCTGGTATGATATGGTCTGGTATGGAAATGGCATGGAATTATGTTATAGTATGGTATGTATGTATGTATTTAACTTTATCAGACATCAATAACTTATACATACCATCTTGTTGTTTCTCTATGTAGGCCTCTAGTTTTTCAATCTTTTTGGCATTGTCTTTCATGGCATTTACATACTCTACAATATAAAACAAAGGTTATAGCAAAACACATTCAGTTATATTCTACTGATATGATATCAGAAAATGCTTAAAACATTAAATTGTATAAACAGGAACAATCCCTTCAAATTACATTAAGAGAAATCACTGTCCGTCTTTTACAACAGTTTCCATATGAAAACAATTTAAAGATCCCGTACGTTAAAATTAAGGCTGTTACCACACTTAGGTGAAATTTTATATAATTTTATGTATTTAATTATGCTTCTAAAACAATTTTCAAACATCGAAGAATATGTAAAATATGTACTGTACATATTTGGCCACATTATATGTAATCATTAAAATATATGCATTCAATTCTTATTGAAAAATTTGACTTAGACTTTCTAATTACCTCCCTTTATTAACATGAAAATGTTAATTCAATAATATCTTTACAAACAATGCTTTTAGGAACTTACAATATTGATAAATCTTCATTTGAGCATTAAATTTATGATATAAAACCATAAAAAAATTGAGTTACAGGAACTTTAATGTTCTTTATATATGAAACTAATACTTTGAAATTACCGGAGTTCCTAGCTTCCAGCTTTTTACACTGATCTGTCCTCTTTTGAAGAGCTACTAACAAATCTTCTTTACTGCTTAGATCAACTTTTGTCTAAAACATAAAAATGAACACATTTCATAGCAGTGGTGACAAAAATGATCAGAAAACAATCATGCAAAGGACACAACATATTTGTATGAACAGAACATGTAAAACATTTAAAGTATAAAATGAATTATATAAAAGACATTCAAAGTTTTTATTGATTATCAGTATTTTTGAAATAAAAACGCAACCATTAAAATCTCAGGTGAGGCCCAAAGGGTCAACACGCTTTTATATGATTTATTTTTTTTTTCTGTCATCCAAAATTTTTTTTTGGGGTTTCGTCACTAAATATGCTTCGCACTGAAATAAATGACACTTACTTCTTTGTTACAATTTTTTTTTTTTTTTTTATCTCAGGGGTGGGTTTTGTCTGGTTCCCTCCCATTATTACATCAATGTATAATATTATAAAAAATTTAAAATTATGTTGATGTTTTTTTAAAATTCACATTTTATGCAAGTTTTTCACCATACAAAGTAAACTTTATAAAAATAAAAACCAAATATCTGTTAGAGGAATGGAAAAGCTATATTTCGGTCATTTGGCTCTGAGCTGGACTACCTGTATAATTAAAGCAGAGCATGAAAATCTTTTCCTTTATTATAATATTTTGTGTGTTTAGAAAAAAACCCGTCTCTTATCATCAAAGATTTTATTACTATTTTTCTTTTTGGTTTAACTTTTAGGTCACACTGGCACTGTAAACATCATACCCTGCCTTTAAAGCTTTAATAGAGTAGGAATATCTGATTGGCCCCTCTGTGCATAATTTCAGGCATGAGCTACATGTAGCTAGTCAAAGTCAAGCTTACCTTGAACTTTGACCTTTTGATCTCAAAATCTACTACTGACTCATGACCAACTTCTAGACCAAATGGATAAAGCATTCTCTAGTTACTGGTTGGACAAATTTTCAGTGACCAAGGTCACTATATAGTGACCTTAGCCTTTTGACCTCAAAACCAGTAAGGGTCATACACTTGTCAAAACCAACCTCCACACCAAAACTAAGGGCTGTAGGCTAAAGTTTTCTTTAGTTATTGGTCAAACCAGGAAGACGTGAGGTATGGACCGACCCCATTACAGTATGCTCCCAGTTTTTAAGTGTGGGCATAAAACAATGAATTTAACAATAGTTTCAGCTATTAAATAATTCATATATGGACTGTGGACACTTTCCTGGACATTTTGTAAATCATTTTGTTAACTTGTAAGTTGTATTGTAATAATTCAAAAATACGAAAATCAGGATATGAGAAAATCTTAGAAATCAGGCCAAATTCAAATCATTTCATTAAGGGAAAATTAAAAACTATACCATTTGTTGCAGGAAGACTGACACGACGAGGACTTGCATGGCCAGGTAAAGGTGCCAGAGTTTTCTCCCCCTTCCTGC